ATCTGACCATGACAAAGGCTCTATAATTATCTCCCCCATTTCCAGATCACTCTGCCACTGGCCAGAGACAAAAATTAGATCCAGTGTATGTCCTCCCGTGTGAGTGGGTGCATGAACTAATTGGGTCAAGTCCATGGTCGTCATGGAGGCCAAGAACTCCCGAGCCACCGCTGACGTTTCGCCCGCCGATGGCAGGTTGTTATTAGGTTATCCATGAAGAAATGTCGCTGTGGATTCTAGTCAGGGGTGTAGTCATGGGACATGCCAAATCAGCTCATTATGATTTATTTCTCTCACAAGAGAAACCATACCTTTTATATGTTCCTATTGCCGATCTACACAGAGATGGCACACCATACTGATACAAAGCAATATTGCAAGTCTAACAGAACTAAGAATCATCAAAAGCTAAGATAGGTGACATGGGGATAATTTGAGATGAAATGAAAATGTCTGGTAATCTTAACTTTAAAAGAAGCACAAATCCATATAAGATAGAAGTGGGCCACCTTTTCTTCATTTAGAATTTGCCTTTTAGTCCCAAGGAGGAAATGGAGTATATCTACATGGGGCAACTGTCTTCCCAAGAGAAAGCTATTTTGACCTGCTGTCTTGATCTAAACTTGGGACAGAAAGTCCTCTCTGATATTGCAAATTACATTTCCCAAGATTCTTTGAGGAAGGCAGGGAAATGAGATCCAAAGCTCCTACAAAGTTGCAGTTTCAATAGGGGTCTGCAGAGCTGAGCAATGTTTCCAGCGTATGTATGGAAAACCACACTAGACCTCGGTTTTAAGCTTAACTTCATAGTAGAGAAACCCACTAAGAATCTAGGATTTGTGTTGTTATTTTTAATTCACTGTGGGCCAATTTCCTCTTTGAAAGGAACTCTTGCTTTATCCCTCCATTCTGATCCTGCCTTTCATATTGTGTAAGAGAAAGGCTAACTTGAAAGTTTTGTGGCTGCCACTCGCTTAGAGAAACAAGCCAGGGTGAAACTGAATTTTCTGTTTCTCACTTCCCTATACTATCATATTGGCTTGGGAAGTAACAAGCAGTTCAATTTATTTATTTTCATGTATTTCAAAATTGTATAAGGTCACCCAGCTCTGTAAGGACTGGGTAGCATACAGTAAAAATAATCGTTCAAGACAATCCAAACAAACAAACAAAAAAGACTTAAGATTTTCAAGGGGTGGGATGTTTTCTTTTTCTCTGAGTGATGTGAGGGTGAGATTTTCAGAAGGGGCAGCAATTTACTTGCTCAGATTATTTGTGTTGATGGAAATAAAGACAATCACAGATTGCCTTCCACTGCTTTTGATGGCTTGTGGAATAAAAAGAGAGGTGGTAAAGAAATGTCCATTTAATGACATTGCTGGCTCTGGTTTGCAATCCAGCATGCCTACAGAAGTAATCCTCAAGCTGTGATTCATGCAAAGGTGCAATGGGCAGCTACCACAGTAGCAAGAATAGGAACATATTCCTCCAGATCTGACTGAACCACCACTCTCAACAAGCCAGCCAATGTGGCCCATGGTGAAGGATGCTGTGAATTATATTCACAACATATGGACACTCACAAATTCCCACTTGTAAATGATACATGATGTTAAAAAAAAAATGTGACCGAACTCCATGGAAGAAGATTGTTGGTTGATGTAGATCCTTATATTTTGTTTCATAAGACACATTAATATATTTCAGTGCACCATCTATAATTAAGGCTGCTATACTAGAATATTCCAGAGAAATGGTTCCTCCCTAAGAAAATAAAAAAGAAAGGGGGGGGGGTTTCTTCCATGGTCTTTTTACATAGGAAAGAAACATAGAACTGATGGTGGAAAAAGTCAAGAAAATTGCAATTGGAAGATGATGTTTGTCAAAGGACCTTATTAAAAGCTACAAATGAGGCAGATCAATTTCATAATCAAAGCTTTAACCAGATGGTCTCTTACACATACATATCAGAGTCATGGTCATTGAATTAACCAAAACATATTTTTGGAATAAGCACTTTAGAAAGGCCTTGTAACATATGACTATAGTTGATTATTATGAATACAGGTATAAGAGTTCTTCCAGATCAATTCAAGTTAATTATTTTGGCACACTGTTGTTATTGCTGCTGCTGCTGTTATAACTTTGATTCCTTCTTACTTCTCCAACTTTTGGCACCCTAGAATTTTCTTGAGACTGAAACCAGGAGTCAGCGCTTCTGGATTGGACTCAGTGATCACAATACTGAAGGGCAATGGAGATGGGTTGATAACACAGACTACAGAACCAGCTTCAAGTAAGACAAGCCAATGCAGTGCAGTTTTCATATCCTATCATTAGTCATTTCCTGAATTTTCCATCCTGAAAAAGCAGAAACGGGAGTTTCATGTACCTCCTTTCATATTATTTATTTATTTATTTATTTATTATTTAAATTTATATACCGCCCTATCTCCCTTACGGGACTCAAGGCGGTGAACAGGCAATAATAAAAATCACAGTAAATATTACATAAAAGCCTGCTCTAAAATATAAAACCCCTAACAAAACCCAATCAAAACTACGCCAGGCCGGCCGCATGGAACAGATGAGTTTTCAGGGCTCGGCGGAAGAGGCGCAGGTCCGCAATTGTACGTAGGTCGGGGGGCAGGTCATTCCAGAGGGCAGGAGCTGCCACAGAGAAGGCTCTCCCCCTGGGGGTCACCAGCCGGCATTGGCTGGCCGATGGTACCCTAAGGAGGCCCTCTCTGTGGGAGCGGACTGGTCGAAGGGAGATATTTGGTAGGAGGCGGTCTTGCAAATATTAAAAGTATTCAACACTTTAAACCAATATTTCTCAAACTTGATTACTTTAAGATGTGTGGACTTCAATTCACAGAATTCCTCAGGCAAAATGCTGGAATTCCTAGAATTCTCCACCCAGAATGCTGGCTGGGGAATTCTGGGAGTTGAATTCCACACATCTTAAAGTGATTAAGGTTGAGAAACACTGCCCTAAATTAACAGATGTGAACTCTGCCACCAAACCTAAACTTCCTTAATGCTTGGGAGAAAAGACTAATATAAGATTGCGTTGGTATCTTAAGCATTCCTTCTTAGCTTAGCCTCTTCATATTTTTTGTTCACTTGTTCTACTATGATGCAGGAGTAGAGAATCTGTTCCTTCATAATACTATTAAACTACAACCCAGAGCAAGCCCAGCAAAAAAGAAAAGATGAGAATGGTGGATGCCAGAAACTGAAGTGCAGAAGCCTCTGGAACTCCAAAGACCCATTCTCTTAAAATGCTGCCATTGGACTGGGCAGGAGGAAAAGAACTACATGTAATATAGCAGAGAAGCTTTTCTAAAGTTAGAAGAATAAGGAGGCCAAGTCCCTGTTGGCACAAAGGGAAATTGTCTCTGTTTGTGTTGCCTAGACATTGTATATTACATAATTCTATGTTGCATTGAATATTATTTTAATTCACCTTCCAGTTTTCTTCCTCACATCTTCCATTTAACACACATAAAACAGATAAAGAATGAACTTTACTTGCACAGAACTTTTCCATAAGATTTTATCCCTATAAAATATCTGACTGTTACTTATGGTAATTTCGTGACTTTCAAGTACAATATTAACCAATATAGTATTGACAAATAACTGGCAGAATCAAGGAACCAAGATAGTATTTATTTTTTAGCTGTACTCTCAGTCAGTAATACATTAGGGAACCACTGGGGAAAAAAATACAATCATCCTTTAAAACAATATATAGTTGATCTACTTGAAGTGACTGCTCAATGAGATTTTCCAAATGAGGGCAACATCCATGTACTCATGCAAGATGACCCTGTTGGTCACGTGACTTCAAAACTGAATACTTGCAGTTATGAGCAATTTAAGCCAGTGCTCTTGGCTATTGTGTTTATTTCCTGAGACCGTATCAGAGCAGTGTTTGGCATAAGATAAAGGAGATCATGTACAGAATTGCCAGCATGCTACCAGTAAGCATTTAGTAGGCAATGGAGAGTAGTCAGGAAGAGCAAATACTGATTGGCTGGAAGTTCTATCTGCATTCTAGACATTTGCAAGTATGTAAACATGCCCATGCTTATAAGATTCCTAATGTCTGAAAATAGCCAAAGCAGCTCTGATGCATTGGGCTTGGAAAGATGGTGAGATGAAAAAGATGGTCATTTAACAATGGCTTTAAATAGCAAATGTCTCTCCTAAAAGATGGCCTCACTGGTGAAGAGGATTAGTTGACCCAGTTGATCACTAGAGGCAACCATAGCTGCTGTCTCTCCTCTATGTTTTCACTTATTCTTTCTAATCAGAATAAGAACATAATGACGTTTCTTCCACTTGCCCTGTTCTCCTCTTTCAAGAAGATGTTCAGTTTGAGGTCAGAGCCAATGCAGGTGCATAAGTAACAGTGAGGAAGAATTGCTGAAACTTTTTTAGGATGGAACACAAAGTACATTCTAAAAAGCCAACAAAACCTGGAATTCACCCTCTCATTCATCACTACTATCCTTGTTGCTCATTCATTGCACCTATTTTGTCAACCACCTTCCCTTTCACTGCTAGCTCACCTAAGATGAACAAACAGTGTTATCAAGGAAAACATGGAGACTCAGGTAGCTGGCAGTGGGCTTCTACTGAGCCTTGGCTATTGACAATAATGTCAACCATTAGGGATATACTTATTCATGAGTAAGAAATAGTATGAAGAAAGTTATGAAGATAGCAAATGTGGCAGACAGTGGCCACCCCAAATGATTTTAATGAGAGAATTTGCATTTAATCCCCAAGAAGCAGCCAAGGATGGGATTACATGTGAAAAAGACTTTAGGTAATAGCCTCCAGATGTTGCTGAATTGTAATTCAGATGTTGCTGAATTATAATTCCTAATATACCTCAGTATTGATTATGATGGCTAGTACTGTTGGCATTTGTAAATCCAGAAGAGCACTAATTCTATGTCCTTGCATAGATACTAAGAGTCAGGTGAGGAAACAGCCTTCTCTATAGATGAGAAGACAATGATATAAGATGCAGGGCATGGTGTACAGATAGATATTGTGTTAATATTAAACCAGTCCCAATCTGGCAGATACCCTGCTGAGCTTTGAAGGCCTACATATGCTTCTGAAGTTTCATACTGGAAAATAGTGGGATATACATGACTGACCCAAAACCATCTCTGGAAAAGTACAGACCTGCGTTATACTTGGCAGGCAGAAGATGATATGGGTGGAGAGGAATGGCATCTCTTTCTGAATTTCTCTCAGACTAATTTGACTGTCTTCCTTCTTTAGGAATTGGTTAGAAGGTGAACCCAATGACAACAGCAATAATGAAGACTGCGGCGAGCTATATGAGGCTGGAAAATGGAACGATGTATCCTGTAATACGAAAAAATTTTATGTGTGCAAAAAACCTTTGCCTCCCTGAAAAATCATGGGCGAAAAAAATTGAAGGAGAAGGAAATCACCTACTTTGGAATCCCAATTATTCTGGATTGTGGAATGAAACTGTATATTAACACACACAAAAAAAAGCCAGCCCAATCAATACCCTCTTATAGGCAAAAAAAAATAGATCTTTAAATTGGTTGGCAAAAAAACAAAATTATTTTCCAATTTGAAAAATATTTGTCAATGAGTTTGTTTCTATTCTTAAGAAAGGCCTATTCTAGATCAAGAGTTGAGTTGTTGGATTCCTATAGGTGCTTCCATCACCTGCCATATCATGAAAACCCATGTATATGTGGTGCCTCTACTATCAAATATATTGCCCATGTTTTCTTGACTGTCAACTGTATGCTTCTCTTAGGTGTAGATATTTAACATCCCTTGTGGGCCACAGAGGAACAGAAACCATGTGTCATGAGATTATTTTTTTTTAGCATTTTTACCCAGCTTGAAAATAGTTAACAAAAGGACAGGGAGCCAACCCTCCATAATAAAAACTGTTTCAACGAATAGCTCTGTTTGATTAATCAGAATGCCCACCTCCAGGGAGACATGGTCAAGCTCTAGTCTAAATGGAGAACTGCCTTGGGTACAGAAGACGATACCCAAAGATTGATCTCAAAAAAAAAATCTTCCATCTATGTGATATAAAAGTCTTGTTGTTGTTATTGTGTATAAAAGTAAAGTTCCAGGTTGTTGTTTTTTTCAATCTCTTTGTCCATCAAACCTAGAAGAAAAACCTCTGGTTTCGATTGTACATTTATTTTAAGATTTCTCTAAATTCTGGTCCCAATATTTCTTAGCTTTCTTACATGTCCACTTAAATTAGTTGTGTGTAAGTAGTCCTAGAAAATTTTATTTAGTTCTTTCTTATTAAAACTCCTAAACACAAATCCTACCTGAGCACAATTTACCTCCAAATAAACATAGCTAGGATTGCTTCCTTAACACAACAGATTACTGACTTGAATGGGATGAAATATGCTCAGGTTTTCATTGTACTTCAAAGAAGTACAAACAATCCTTTGCCTAACAGTTTGATAATAGAACAACAGAATTGGAAGGGACCTTGGAGGTCTTCTAGTCCAACCCCCTGCTCAGGCAGAAAACCTATACCAGTGTCAAACTGCCAGTCCACGGGCCGGATGCGTCATGCCGAAACCACACCCACCCCATTGCTGGCAATGGAAAAAAAGTTGTGATATGTCACGTGAGGTTACGAGTATGACACCCCTGCCCTATACCATTTCAGACAATCTTATTTGGATTTTTAGTTAGAGGGGGGGAAAATCTTTATATGTGGAGGCCTGGAAATCATACTGGACTTGTATAGCTATTTTCCAATGGAAAACATTGAGCCCTGAGGGACTTACTGTATGCATTTCTTTATTTAATGAGATGAAATGTTGTAACTGATATTCACACTAAAAATTCACATTTGGCATCCACTTTCAACATATGGTGGTGGTTTTTAAATTGTCTGACCCAATTAACCTTTTCCCAGTCTTGTATAATTTCATTATCCTCACAAAAAAATAAGAATCTGTTGTTTTACACAAACATCTTAACAGCAGCCCCAAAGGGGATCCATGAGTCACAAACAAGCAACTACAAATTGCTCCATTACCTCTAGGATATGCCCAATTAACCCCTTTGGGGAGAATTATTTCCTGTTTAAGAATCGCTAACGTAGGAATAAAGAACTTTTATTCATTAGAGGTATTTTTCCTGGAAGGTAAACCTTTTGTTGTTGTTGTTGTTGTTGTTGTTTTCTACTACAACCTACACACACAAACACACACAACTCCATGTTTCTCAGTTACCTGAAATAGTAATATAAAAAAAAAGATAAGTGAATTTAGGAAATACCATCAGGTTTATGGTGGATAACATATCTAACAGTGCCCTGAAATTATTCAAAATTCTCAACCAGGAATTGGAAAACAAGACAGCGGAGTTTAAAACCCTTTCTCCTGTTAGTTTCACCTCTTGGTGATAAACACATTTCATCTCTTTCTGAGCTTGGTTGTTTTCTTGCAGGCATTTCATTACCACACTAGGCAACATGATCAGTGCACTTCATCAGCTCTCTTACTTTCAGAGAGCACCATCACACTTTCTTGCACACCTGCAGTACTTCTGGGTGTGTTAGTATTTAAACATACATAGTTGAAAGAAAACAAGCTTTCTCTGACTTGTTTAGAAATACAGAGAGACACAGCAACCTTTATCTGAGGAAGATACTTCGCATCCATGTTATCTTTACTTTTGCTTTCCCTCTAAATCAATGTTTTTCAAATTTGGCAGCTTTAAGATGTTTAAACTTCAACTCCCAGAATTCCCTAGCCAGCATGCTGATTAGGGGATTCTGGGAGCTGAAGTTTATAAATCTTAAAATTGCCAAGTTTGAAAAATTCTGCCGTAAATCTTGGATTAACAGATGCCCAGAGGAATCGCTCTAGACTAAAACGGATGGATGATTGAATTTCAGCCCAAACATGTGAGGAAACATTGCCTTCTCAGCTTGCAAAAGCCCAGAGGTCTAGGAACCGGGTGCTTCCAACATCCAGTTTTAGATTATAAAACTCTCAGGGCTGCTGAAATATTTCCAGAATTCCAAAAAATAGAGTAGAAGTCAATTCTAAGTCTAAACAATATTAGAAAATGTCCCAGAGGTGCTTTCTTTCAAAAGGCAACTGGACTTTCTTGTTTTGCTCAAAGATGTTTCGCTTCTCATCCAAGAAGCTAGCAAGAAGCTAGAACCGAAGAAGCTTCTTGGATGAGAAGTGAAACGTCTTCTAGCAAAACAAGAACGTCCAACATGACCTGTACAACTTAGCATCTCCATAGACAATATCAGAAAACGTTAGTCCTAATTTTTTTTTTTTTTGTAATACCTCAAAAATGCCTGGGTAAGCATGAGGCCTTCTACCAGTTGAAATAAATACAGATCAAGCTGCTTTTCCAAGGAAGCATGAAAGGTTAAGTCAAAAGTGCTTAGGTTTTACAAAATTTGTTGGTGCTTAGATCTGTATGGATGCATCATGCAGTGATAGGAGAGGGAGTGAAACCGAAGGACAATGTATTCTCGGTACTAGCAGAGACAAATTGTAGCCTACGCCTCATTCCTGTTTTGAGGGCTGCTTAAATATTTCCCTCCTCTCTGAAATCAAGTGCACACAGTGCTGAGACCCAGCGCAAATGAAGCCCATCAATCAACTTCCTTTCCACCAGAATCTTTGACAGTATTTCAAGATACAAAGAGTAATAACGTGGCCCCATGTCTCAGAAACCACATAATTGCATTTGCTGCACTGATTTCAGGGAGATCTCTGAATCCCAAACTAGATTTCGGAGATATCCAGATGGAAGCAGTTCCCCCTGAAGCAGGCTGAATCGGAGGCTAATCAGCCTCAAAGCTTTATTTGTGATTCAGAGGGTCATGGAATTGAAGAGAGTGTCTGCAAAAACTAAATCTCAACCCCTTCCCAGCTTGTACCAGAAAAACACTAGAAATGTGAAAAGAAGTGACAGAGTAGAAATTGTGACAGGCTGCTTATACAGATAGCCTTCAAGGTACATCCATATATTTAGTGACTGTTTGAAGTTACAATGACAGTGAAACAAGTAAATTATAATTGGTCCTTGCACTTACAACCACTGCAGCATCCCCAATGTCACATGATCAAAATTTGGGTGCTTGGCAACTGGTATATATTATAAGGTTTGTAGCATCCTGGAGTTATTCAATTTCTATTTGTGACCTTCCCAGGTGGCTTCCAAAAAGCAAGTTCAATGGGAAAAGCCAGATTCACTTAATGATGGCACAATTCACTTAACACCTGGAGTAATTCATTAACAACTGTAAGCTGTCCTGAGTTGCCTTGAACCAACACGAGATGGGAGCAAATAAATGTGATGATGATGATGATGATGATGATGATGATGATGATGATGATGATGATGATGATGATGATGATAATAATAATAATAATAATAATAATAATAATAATAATAATAATAATAATATCTGCCTATCCCAGATCCTTGGGAAGGACTTAGGTGGATAAAAATGCCAAATCCAGTCTGAACATCTGGCTGACTACCTGACGAACCATAATAATAGTAATGAGGAGCCCTGGTGGTGCAGTAGTTAGAATACAGTATTGCAGATTAACTCTGTCTACAGTCTAGAGTTTGATCCCAATGGGCTTGAGGTAAAATGATGCAAATTGTTGGGGGCAATATGCTGACATTGTAAACCGCTCAGAAAGTACTGTAAAGCACTAAGGAGCGGTATATAAGTTTAATTGTGCCATTGGGCCCACAGTAAAAAAATGACAATAAAGATTATCTATCTATCTATCTATCTATCTATCTATCTATCTATCTATCTATCTATCTATCTATCTATCTATCTATCTATCTATCTAATTCAAGGCTTTTCAACCAGTGGTACCGGTACCACCTGTGGTACATTGGCACCTGGCAGGTAGTATGCGACCATCCTAGAAAAGTAGCAGGGGAGGGGAATGAGCTGAACTGGTAGCAGCACCACGCAAGCCTGAGCAAGAGATGGCTGGAGCTGCAGGGCTGTCAGGGCTCAGTGGAAGCGCCAGAATCAGCACCAGGCTCCAGCTGGAGCTCGGCGCTGATCCTGACACTTCTGCTGAGCCCAGAAGAAGCACCGATCAGCTGGAATGTTGCAGCATCTCCAGGGTCTTGTGATTTACATTCAGATGCTTGGCAACTGATTCATATTTATGACGGACACAGTGTCCCAGGCTCATGTGAAGTGACCAAAACCTGCTGCAACCACCCAGCAGATGGGGGGGGGGATAAAAACCAAACACCCCCCCATCCCAACCCCGCTGCCAATCCTCAACAGAAATGCTCACAGCAATGAAAACCTCGGACAGGAGGAAGAGCGCTGCCGGGTGGGCAGGAATGTGTCTTGCTCGGCTGTGGCTTGGGGGGCACTTTTTTCAGTGCCATTGTAACTTTGAACAGTCACTAAGTGAACTGTTGTAAGTCGAGGACTGCCTGTACTTCATCACTATTTTCCTTTTGGGGGGGGGGGTCATCAAGTTTTTGACACCTTGCTAGGTGACTGGTGGTACTCGGATATTGCCATATCCTAAAAGTGGTACAATGGGTGAAAAGGTTGAAAAGCCCTGATCTAATTGTTCTTGTTATTGCTGTAAAAGGTTATAAAAATCAAGCGCAGCTCTCTTAACAAGTGTTTTGCTTAGCAATGTAAATTCTGGTCTTAAGTTGAGGACTACCTGTAAACATAGTATATGAGTTCTTGGAGTACTTTGCCAGGAAACACTGAAGTATTACATTATAGGGTTATTCCAGCATCCAGAACTTTTTGCTAATTATGCACCCAGGCGCATAAATGTTCCAAGGGTTCAGACAAAGTCTGTCTTTAGAGGTCAAGGGGAGAAGGGCTAGGACAGCGGTGGCGAATCTGTGGCACAGGTGCCAGAGGCGGCACTCAGAGCCCTCTCTGTGGGCACACGTGCCGTTGCCCCAGCCTCGCCTCCCCCTGCGACCCCCTCCTCTCCAGCAGCCCCTCTGAAGGAAAGTCGCCCCTGAGCGTGG